ATTACTCTTCGATCATTCATAGAAGAAATTCTGTTGGAAATTCATCCTGAGTACAACTAGACGACATTGAATTTCCACTCGCAAAATGTTCAAACATTCCAGCCATTGTAATTGGACTTTACAGGGGATAAAATTCATTCCTATAAATCGCTACATAATAATTCGATAAGATTTGCTACCGAGGCTCGACTTTGATTAAACTGTGCTTCTATGTAGATAATAAGAATGATTTGCAGATTAGGTCATGTACTGTACAATATTTTCTATACAAGCTAAAGGAAATATTATTTCATAGAAGTAATGTTTCAGAGATAAACTATAAGTAACAGTTTTTTTGATTGGATATAACGTCCTTGTGCGTCGATACTGAGAACTGTTAGTTCATCCATACTATCTCTTATATTAATTAAGTAGCTACATTTTTTAATGAGAAACACGATCCAGAGATCTGCAAGATCATTCATGCGTTGAATCTCACGATCTTCTACGCAAGATTATGATCGTCAAGATCAATGTGATCTTTAATATCAAATTGATCTTGAAGATCAATGTGATCTCCAACATCAATGTTATCTTCAAGATCTAAATGATCTTTAAGATCTAAATGATCTTTAAGATCAATATGATCGTCAAGATCAAAGTGATCTTCAAGATCTAAGTGATCTCACTCATCAGGGCCTAAACTTTCAAAAAAGTTAAGAGATCGTAAGTTCATCAGCCAATCATTGACGGCCTTTCAAGCAAAATCCTCCAATCATAGACAAGAAAATAGAGCGTAAGTACTTACGTTCACTTAGCGAGTTTTGAAAGTATGGCCCCTGTCCTATATAGGATCTCACAAGGAGAGTCAATGTCCTATGAGTTAACTAACGAAGTCGAAGCTCACATTCATTACCCAATTGTTAACATCTTATTCGATCAGGATAATCACGTTTCCCATTTAATAAACGTTATGATACCAACTTTTAATGAGTATAGTTGCAAACAAGTGGCAGTAGCGAATCAAAATATGAACATAGATCAACAAATAGAACAATTTCATCACTTATTTAGCTTGTCAGTAAAAAGTTCAGTAATTGCATTTATAAAATTATTTTATTCTTTAGGTTCAATATTCCACTGAATTAATAATTTTTTCTGAAAATTAGTCTTCGTGTCTAACAATGATTCTCTAACATACAACGCTGCGAGCTAATTCATATATTCTTTGATTTTTAACTAAAGTTTCAAAAAAGAATATTAATAAAATTTATAGAATTTTCCATAACATTATTGAAAAAAATTATAATGAGTCGGTGCTTCTCAAATCTCATTACAGTACTTGAATAAAAGCTATAGGCTGTACGACATTATAACAAACAGGGGTTGTTCCGAGTATTAATTATAACATAACATAACATAACATAACATAACATAACAAAACATAACATAACATAACATAACATAATATAACATAACATAGTGATGTCGGCGCTGAAGTGTATGATGTGGCCTGTCGCCGATTCTTTTCCATTTCGTGCCTTGTTCATAGATCTAAACTCGTATCATTTGAACGGATCTTTTCATGACTGGCGATAGTTTGAAGTAAATAAATAATAATTTGAAGTAAATAAAATAATAAATAGTAATATAAGAAGGCCATCTGTTCAAATATTTGGCTGAATATGATCGTAGTGTAAACGGACATTTTTTCTCTTCAGATTCCAACAACCCAGACCTAAATTTCAGGCCGAGTAGCAGAAACTCTGGGAAATTCCACCGCTAGTGTAATTATAGGTGAGCTTAAAATGAATCAGAAATTAAAACGGGGCTTTAGCAATAACTAAAATACATTTTCCGAAAAAAATGGCTCGAAAACCCAGCTTTTTTCCTCGTTTCTTCGATTAAAAGTATGAAGTTTTACAAAAATCTAACGATGTTCACACGAATTTCTCTAGTAAATCATGCAAAGACAACACAAATAATGCTATAAATAATCTTATATGCTAACTTTACAAGTAAAAGGCATGCTTACTAAGACAAATCCGCCGCAGAGCGCTGGACAATTCAAATCAACTCAAGAGCACCCTAGAAAAAATGGAAATACACGAAACCAATCACTTAATGGAAGAGTAACAATAATTAATAATAACTACATAAGTTGTTTTAATAGACGAAAATTATTATAAATTTAATACCGACTACGGGACTCAGCGCCCGACGTAATTTTGTGATAGAATTGGAAAAAAGTCAACAGTTTTCTCCATTCAATATTTGTGTGCCGTCTCCTTATTATCTAATTGGTTGCTTGATTAAGAGTAAGATTATTAGACTTTCTAGCTAAACTTGCCGTTCAAGAGTTAACGGGCCTATACTTTCAAAAAAAGTTAAGAGAGCGTAAGTTCATCAGCCAATCATTGACGGCCTTTCAAGCAAAATCCACCAATCATAGACAAGAAAATAGAGCGTAAGTACTTACGTTCAATTAGCGAATTTTGAAAGTATAGGCCCTGTACCGTAATAGTTCAGTTCAAGTGTCATTCATGAGTGTCATGAATTAGCGAATACGAACACGTATTAGCGAATTCATAACACAATGTTTATGGCATTCATAACACACTGTCTATGGCATCCATAAGTGACCGTCTTTTGTATTTATTCTTGGCAGTTGAATTTAGCTTTTGCACAGTTTGTGTGAGGGGAATACTTCATAAGTCAGGCTTTTTTCCAATAAAGTTTCGGTTTCATTTAATTTAAAATAAGTAACATTGGCACGGCAATTCTATGAATACTACACTTGAATCCAGTAAGTAATCTTTGAAGTAACGGGCACTTTAATTAGTGTCCAAAGAAATGTTAAAATATGACATATGATAAGTGTGTGTATTAAATTTGAGTTCCAGCATATTACGTAAAACGATTTTTTAACGTTATTAATTTAATATTTTTATTACTAGTTGGGGACATCTTCCAGGAGAACGATTTGAAGAAACATAATTAGTTGATCACTTACAGAACAACCATTCAGTGGTGCAACTAAAACCTACGTTATAATAGCCAATACGACTAGCCAATACCTTTCAAAATACATATATTAGCGAATTCGATTAGCTATTACCATTACCATTACATGTATTAGCAAATTCGATTAGCTATTACCATTACCAATACATGTATTAGCGAATTCGATTAGCTATTACCATTACCATTACATGTATTAGCGAATTCGATTAGCTATTACCATTACCAATACATGTATTAGCGAATTCGATTAGCTATTACCATTACCATTACATGTATTAGCGAATTCGATTAGCTATTACCATTACCAATACATGTATTAGCGAATTCGATTAGCCAATAGTATCTTCAGCTCCACCAAAGAGCATCAAAATGCATCATTAAAACGAAAATCATGATACCTAATTCAACTTCATTAAATTCTATATAAATTAGGGAATTACAGTGTATTTTACTGTATTAAATAAACTTAAGAATAGACAACGGGCTGGAAAGTGTAAGCGTTTAAGTCTGGCACTGAAAACTACGAGATTAGAAAAAAAATTAAAAAACCACGACATTTGAGATAAAATTTCGAAAACCACCAAATTTGAAATGAAAATTTGAAAACCACGAAATTTGAAATAAAATTTCGAAAACCGCCAAATTTGAAATGAAAATTTGAAAACCACGAATTTGAAATAAAATTTCGAAAACCGCGAAATTTGAAATAAAAGTTTGTTATGTTAATCCGTCTCGACGTATACATAATAACTGAAATGATTGGTTATTAATCCTAGCGATATTTGTTATAGTATTGCCACACAAACTACATTAGTTAAGGGGTTTAAATTCAAAGATAATTAGACTTCATTACCATCATTAAAATCCATTATTATTTAATGGGCAATTAAAGGCCGTTTTGCTGAAGATTGACCCAAGCATATTATCAAAATAATTGTGCATTTTAATCAAATAACACAGGAACGATTTTCTCTCATATTAATAGTGTTTGGTGTGAAATTTTCTAAATAAATAATAAGGTTAACGGTCAAATCATTAGTATAGCGATTAATTTCACATTAGCTACATTTGTAAACTTAATAAATTGTACTTTAAACCAGGAATAAGAAATTATCAGCAATCCACTTATCACACTGTGGGATCTCATCAATCCATTATACGCTATATTTTGAATTTAGAAATACTGCACTAAAATTATCGAAGAAATTTGCATCCAATTCTTGCAGGCGACCTCTAAGCCAATTGATAATATTGGTAACACTACACTCAGGAAAATAAATGGCTGATTTTTTCGAATAGGGACACACTATCTTACCCGCAACGTGAGCAGAGAGCAGAAGTAGCAGTGATATGCCCTTTTCCTGGGTCAAACTGAGTCAGGATGACCCAGACACGGGGAAAAAAGTGCAACAATTTTGGGACGCACTCTATTTTATTTCTCTGAGTGAGCTATGAGATCCCTTGATAGAAAAATAGAGCAATGCCAAAATTGAATTAAAATGAATTGCAAATCACCAGTGCAAAGCACAAAGAACAGCCATCATACGAAATGTTACATAATCATTTTGTGCGCTTACAAAACCTTTTTTTTTTCAGTTGACTTTACCTATTAGTTCGGTGATAGAATATAATTTAATTAATCGGTGATAGAATATAATTAAAATTTTTTTCTTTGGTTTTAATCATTGCTGTTACAAGATAAATAACTTGGACTTCGAGACCCCGTTTGTGCGTGGACGTTAAAATATTCCCTCATAAAAAGTGTTTTAACGAAAACTTTCGTTAACCGCGTTAACAAAAACTTTTGTTACGTTTATGTATATATTCGGTCCACGAATACCTTTACCTGATGTAAACTTAATGCCAACTATCTGACTGTAATATAAACTAAACGAAAATGACTTTTCTATTTAACTTTGTAATCATTCATCACTCTGTCGCGGCAGTAAGGTAAGGAAATAGACTTCCTTCCAATTACCAAATCACTACCTACCATTCATCACTCAGTCGCGGCAGTAAAGGAATTACGAGTAGCAATGTAGGCCAGAAAAAAGCAGTAAGAGGCAAGCGGAAAAACTACAATGCGAGCGACGCTCGTAAATATCTAAATCATTGAGAGGAATAAGCAACAACAGCAACGGCAACAACAACAACAACAATGACCACGACAACAATGAGGCTGCTATGCATTTGATGAATAATGTAATAATAGTTATAATAATTGTTAATATAATCATATTAATGGTAATGAAGAGGAAGAATGCGGCAGTGAGAGCCGACGTCTCCCGATGATGGTACGACAACAGGCATGGTAGCCTGGAGATGATACCAAACGTACTATTCCCTACTGTACAGACCCTTCGATCACAACTAGCGTAGTGCCTATAGTAATGGAAGCTACAGCAACACAATAAATACGTAGAATAACTGTGACAATAATTGTATAAAATACTGAGTACATTTGACAGATAATAAAGTAATATGGCGCCTGTGGCCAGTTGTCCTACGTCTGGCACCCCCGGCCGCCTAGGACAACCACATAAACATGAGCGATGGCGACGAGCGTACGACAACATGGAGGAAGCTGCTGCTGAGGTAACGCTAGGTCCTGCTGAGCCCAAGTTCTTATCAACATAATACTCATTGTCTAGATTTTTGCTTTTAGAATACAGGCTTTTGTGTTGTTTTGGTGTTCTGTACAGGTTAAGCGACTGCTGCTGCTTGTGTTCATTGATAAATGCGATAGGAGGCGAGCTGAGGGTGAGAGAGGCACGCTTGGACTTAACTTCAACACCATCGTTTTTATCACTACCATCATCAACACCATCGTTTCCTTCACCACCATCATCAATATCATCGTCTTCTTGATCACCATCGTCAACACCATCGTCTTCTTGACCACCATAACTGCTATCACCATAAATGCTAGATGAAATATCGAGTGCTCGCTCTCCCGAGTTAGGATCAACTCCATGATAGAAACTAGAGTGTCCAGCCAAGGGCAGAGCTCTTACCTCACCACTAGAAATCTCCCTGTCCGTTCTAGACTCTTTCTTCTCGGTCTTCTCTTTAACGGTCTTTTTCTTGCCCTCAGGACTCCTAGAGTCTGCGGTCTTTTTCTTGCCCTCAGGACTCCTAGAATCTGCGGTCTTTTTCTTGCCCTCAGGACTCCTAGAGTCTGTGGTCTTTTTCCTGTCCTCAGGGTTCCTCGAGTCTGCGGTCTTTTTCCTGCCCTCAGGACTCCTAGAGTCTGCGGTCTTTTTCCTGCCCTCAGAACTCCTAGAGTCTGCGGTCTTTTTCCTGCCCTCAGGACTCCTAGAGTCTGCAGTCTTTTTCCTGCCCTCAGGACTCATAGAAGAGTCCATATTCTCTGTTCTTTCGTCTATATGTTTAGTGCCTGGAAGATAAGGGGAATCACAGGGGCTGATCCGGACATAACTTGCCAGTCCAATACGATGGCACCAGTAAAAATCATTTTCCTTTTCGTCTTGGCAGGTTCGGTTTCTCCTGCCGTACTCCTTCCAGCTCTCGTGGACAGCTTTGCAAGGCATGTAGCAGTTGTCTGGCGGGCCGTACGTCTCGTAGAAGTCGTCGTGGCCTGTGATTTCCGGATCTGGAAATAAATTTGAGATTTAAGATGGGGCCAATTATTCTTGGATATTTAAAATAACGTTGAGATTTAAGATGTGGTCAATGATTTTAGGGGGATCTTTATAATAACAATGAGATTTAAGATATGGCCAATTTGCCAACGATTCTAGGATTTTTAGCACAACAATGAGATTTAAGGATAGCGTCCTGGTCCCTGAAAAACTTTTTTATTTACGGACGGATAACTTTGAAACTTGATACACAAGTGTAAAACAGAAATCTAAGACTTTTTTGTTCGTATAAATTTTTCGAAAAATGAAAGAAAACGTGAAATTCTTAGAAAACGGGAAAAAAGAGTACTAGAAGAAACTATACTAGGGAAATGGTACTAGAAAGGGTACTAGAAAAAAACGCAGAAAACTATCTCCTCCCAGGATTTTCAAGCTACAACATCGAGATGCATATCATTCGATGCGTAAAGACCATATCTATCGATTCGTCGTAGCTTTTTTCCAAATTCGAATTTTTGTGGGAGGGGGAGCATATTTCGTAAAATTTTCGAAAATTTTTCGATTTCCCCCATTTTCCCTTCCCTTTTTTCAAAATATTTTCAAAACTATAACGAAATTGAGAAAAAAGCTACGACCGATCTCTAGATCTTTTATTTGCGAATCGAACGGTATATCTTTCATTGCTGTAGCTTAAAAACTGTAAGAGGAGATATATTTGCAGTGACAATAAGTGTGAATGTTCAGTAGAGCACGACAAAGTCTCGAGCGCCTCGAAATACGCATTCAATGTTGCAAGGGTGCATGACTAGACGTTACTGGAGTACTGGAGCTCAATTTCTGTCAAGGAATGTGCGAACGACTGCATGAAAACCATCCCGCACGACTGCAGCCGGGTAACTAAAGCGGAGCGTGTTCAGACCGGCTATTTAACTGCTCTGCCGGGAATCATTGCCTATGTTAAATGTTGAAGAACTCCACCACACTTATTTCCCTTTCGCGATTTGTCGTGAACGCATAAATCAACGTACGGAGATGGTTTTGGTACCGTTGGATAGGCCAGAATGTCAGCTTCAAGATGAGACTAAAAACCGGAAAAGCCAAATTGTTGATTTTGGGCCCAGACGCTCCCTTAAGGTGTGGCAATTGATTGTTGCATCTTTAAAATAACAATGAGATTTAAGATGTAACCAACTATTCTTGGATCTTTAAATTATTTAAATGAGATTTAGCATGTGGCCAATGATTTTCGGATTTTCCAAATAAACTTCGGATTGAGAATATGGCCAGTGATTTTCGAATCTGAAAAATAGATATGGGATTTGAAGTGAATTAGTATAGGTACTAGAGGGCGGATCTCCTAAGAAGAATAGGCAGTCCTACATTTGCGACATTCGCGTTAATATTGAACCCAAAAAGTATGTGAAAGTTTGTTAAGACGCAAAAAGATAGAATTTAACGAGAAAAAATAGCTACGGAAAGTAATGAAGGAGGAACTTTTTGCCGTCGCTCTGGACCGATATGAGAAAACTCCAGTCAAGAAATGTTATGCACATAAATAACAGCAATATTAAAAAGTTGGGCGGAAAAACGAAGAACTTGAACGTTTGACGGCACAAACCAAAACTCAAGTTCAAGGTTTGAAATTAAAATTAGATGAGAACGTTTCGTTTAGTAAATAAATTATCTGTATTAATATTATACGGCTGATTGAAACAGTTTGTATGTCCGTAACACATTTAGAACCCAAAAACTGAATATTAGACCGAACGAATTTTACGGAACGGTATCAATGACCGCACATCAGACGACAATGTGCATCAATGACAGCACATCAAGACGACAATGTGCATCAATGACGGCACATCAAGACGACAATGTGCATCAATAACAGCACATCAAGACGACAATGTGCATCAATGACAGCACATCAAGACGACAATGTGCATCAATGACAGCACATCAAGACGACAATGTGCATCAATGACGGCACATCAAGACGACAATGTGCATCAATAACAGCACATCAAGACGACAATGTGCATCAATGACGGCACATCAGGACGACAATGTGCATCAATGACAGCACATCAAGACGACAATGTGCATCAATGACAGCACATCAAGACGATAATGTGCATCAATGACAGCACATCAAGAAAACAATGTGCATCAATGACGGCACATCAAGACGACAATGTGCATCAATGACAGCATTTCAAGTCTAGGAGGAAAAATTTTGTAATGATCTCAAAATAAGTGTATATATTGTTTATATATCAAAATTCGGTTTTTATTAAACTGTGAGCACCCATAAGTTAGCACGCACTTGTCTGATTCATTGATTTATTAATCATTCATTCACTCGCCATCACACAGCCTTATTCGATGAGGTTTTCTTCGTGGTTCCATGCATGAATAACATATATTGAGTTGCCATGAGATTATTGCACGGAACAATGCATATTGAGTGAATTTCCTCGCATTATTCTAATTCATTTTTATTCATATAGATGCGTCCGAATTTTTTTATTTTACGAATACCAAAGAAGTCCATGAGTTCATTTCAGAACTCATTCATTGTGCAGATATAAATTTATCATTAGCAATCTTTTAAAAAATCGAAATTCTGATCGAGGAGACATACCGTTATATTGAAGTATGTTATTGTGAGAAGAATATTCATTGTTTATATATACTATTACTGTATATTTATACATGACGAACTGTGATTTGTCAAAATGAATACAAATATAATAACTTATAAAGGTAACGAGGTATAATTTATCGAATCGAAGTGTAGCAGACTTTAAAGTAGTGTACCTACATGGGTATTAAAACTCAGGCTATCCTTCACACAGGATATTCAAGCTATCCTTCACACAGGAAACTCCACCCACTAGGTAAGTGAAGTTTAAACAACGTTTAATCAACGTTGATTCAAGTAGATAACGTTTTTTAACGGCGATTCAACGTCAGATATCTGGTTTAGGACAGGCTATCCTTCACTGATGAAAATAAAACTACACTGCACAGGATATTTTGTTTATCCTCCACACAGAAAACTCGGGCAATATCCTTCTCAGCGAGAATAATTAGGCTATTCTTCACACAGGATATTCAGGCTATCCTTTACACAGAAAGTTCAGCCAATCCTACACATAGGATCTTTAGGCTATCCTTCACACATGATATTTAGGGATCCTTCACACAGGATATGCAGACTAACCTTCACACAGGATATTTAGGGTATCCTTCACACAGGATACACAGACTAACCTTCACGCAGGATATTTAGGGTATCCTTCACACAGGAACGTGGGTTCGCGTGTCACGGAGCTTGAGGAAGGGGCTTTAAAACTCAAGCTAACCACCACACAGAATATTCAGAATTCACACAGGACATCCACACTACTTCACACAAGAAACACAAACCAACCTTCACACAGGAACGTGGGTTCTCCAGCAACAGGCTTGTCACTGGGCAGGAAAAAGAGGTTATAAAACTAAAACAAACCACCACACAGGATACCCTGAATTCACACTACTTCACACAAGAAACACAAACTAACCTTCACACAGGAACGTTGGCTCCCCAGCAACAGGCTTGTCACTGGGTAGGAGGAAGAGGTTATAAAACTCAAACTAACCACCACACAGAATATTCAGAATTCACACAGGACATCCACACTATTTCACACAAGAAACACAAACTAACCTTCACACAGGAACGTGGGTTCGCCAGCAACTGGCTTGTCACTGGGTAGGAGGTAAGGACATTTCTGAGCGACGTCGTAGCACATCTCGCGGCACGGTAGGATGCGCGTGTGGTTAGGCAGCACGAAGTCCAGTAGCTGTGAGCACGACCACAGCCTGTACGCTTCCTGGGGACAAATGCACTGTTTAGGACCCTGTTAAAGACTGAGACACAATTCAGAATTTAGGTTCATATAATCAAAGACAGTTTATGTTCCTATAATCAAAGAAGCACAGTTAAGGTTCCTATAACCACAGCCTGTACGCTTCCTGGGGACAAATGCACTATTTAGGACCCTGTTAAAGACTGAGACAATTTAGGCTACTATAATCAAAGACAGTTTATGTTCCTATAATCAAAGACAGTTTATGTTCCTATAATCAAAGACAGTTTATGTTCCTATAATCAAAGACAGTTTATGTTCCAATAATCAAAGACAGTTTATGTTCCTATTCTCAACGATAGTTTATGTTCCTATAATCAACGATAGTTGATTATAGGAACATTAATACACGGCTTCCTCATACACAGCTTCCTCATAAACGACATTCCCATATACGGCTTCCTTATAAACAGCATCCCTATACACGGCTTCCTTTTAAACGACATCCCATATATATACGGCTTCCTCATAAACGGCATTCTCATATGCATAAAAGTTGTCGAGTTAAACGGAAAAACTTTAATTCGACTTTGAAGATTAAACTTAACGCTGGATGTTAACGAGATAAGTTGGCAGCTTCAAGAGGAATATCACGTTGCAGCACCGCTCGTCATACGATTAGTACCATTGATAACCATCAACTATCATTAACATCATTAATTTTAATTGATTAAGTTTGGCAACTTGAAACTGAGTTGGAAACTTCAAAGATCGCCTACGCCTTTAAACCGCGCGTGCAGAAACTTGATCAAAGTTCGAGGCAAACTTGAGCGTGAATGAAGAAAACTTGTTGGATCGGAGTTAATACGGGGCAGTCACGCTGAATACGGAGATACGCGAACATGACGATTAATACGGAGACACGCGAGCATGACGATGAATACGATGAAACGTGAACATGACGCTGAATACGAAAACACGTGAGCATGACGCTGAATACGGAGACACGGGAACATGACGATGAATACGGAAAAACGTGAGCATGACGATGAATACGGAGGCACGTGAGCATGACGCTGAATACGGAGACACGGGAACATGACGATGAATACGGAAAAACGTGAGCATGACGCTGAATACGGAGACACGTGGGAACATGACGATGAATACGGAAAAACGTGAGCATGACGATGAATACGGAGGCACGTGAGCATGACGCTGAATACGGAAACACGGGAACATGACTATTAATGCGGAAACACGTGAGCATGACGATGAATACGGTAACACGTGAGCATGACGATGAATACGGAAACACGTGAGCATGACGATGAATACGGAAACACGTGAGCATTACGATAAATACGGAAACACGTGAGCATGACGCTGAATACGGAAACACGTGAGCATAACTATTAATGCGGAAACACGTGAGCATGACGATGAATACGGAAACACGTGAGCATGACGATTAATGCGGAGACACGTGAGCATGACGATGAATACGGAAACACGTGAGCATGACGATTAATACGGAGACACGGGAACATGACGCCGAATAACGAGGACACGTGAACATGACGATGAATACGGAGAGCGGAAAGAGCAAAAATAACATCGATATTTAGACCAAGTTTTAGTCGTTTCTCTGAGTGCACCTTCGTCATCGCTTACAAGACGACAGGGGCCAAGAGAACTGCTGTAATTAAGCCATGGGAAGTTTTGAAGTTTTGGCATTGATGACAAAATCAGAAAAAATAAATGGGAAGATGTGAAATTTACTTATAAACATTCATTTTTAGTGGGATGATACCCGCGAGAATGATTGTATGTTTCTTCTCAATATTTTAACATCGTTAGAGACTACCCAGTGAAAGTTATCGTTCAAATTTGTGTCGCCCCACAGGCAACGGAGTCAACTTAGAGGTGGTTCAAGCGAGGATCGGCCCTCCATTGTGTTCAGCTGCTATTTAGCAGCCTCTTCGGAAGTCTATTGGTATGGTGGGCAGAATCTACTTAATATTACAGAAAAGAGCAGCTGGTCAAGCTGCCTCATGATGCTTCTGGTCAGACGCTGGTCAGGCTTCCGCATGATGATCCTGATCTGAGGCTAGACGGGGTAATTGTGCGTACCATATGTGCCATAGCAATCACCGTCAATAAATGGCGTCGATGAATGCAAACGCGTACGTTTGCTATTTAATTAGACGAGTAATTATGCGTACATGTCCCAAAACAATCTTCTGGTCAATAAATGGCGTCGATGAATGCACACGCGTACGTTTGCTATTTAATTACATGCACACGCGTACGTTTGCTATTTAATTACATGCACACGCGTACGTTTGCTATTTAATTACATGCACACGCGTACGTTTGCTATTTAATTAGATGCACACGCGTACGTTTGCTATTTAATACGGCGGAACGAAATGAGAGTCGACTTCAACTAGACATGAAGCACGGTGAATATAGCCTAGGATAAACAAACCCATGCACCTACTGTTCAAGACGCCTATTTTTAACCTAACACTTTTGCTTGCTTGCTATGCCACAAATGCTTAAATTAAGACATAACGGCTCTTTAATTAGACAATTCATACACCAAAATACAATATTATACCCACTTCTGTGCACACGAGTATCATCCACGAATGAAAGATTAAAGATACGGTACTTGTAATAATTAAGAAATCTACCAACTATTCCAGTCCATGAATATGGTAAATAGCACAAGAATAAGGCAAATTAATTTTTGATAAAATTGACTGGTAAATCGCATCAATCCGATAAGAGTACGAAGCAAATTCAGCAGGAACATGCGGTTACCGTCCTAAAATATTCGTTGGAGAATTGTGTTTATGTGAATTTACATTACGTGTGCTCACACATACGTATATGCGTCGCAGGCTTCAATACGCAATTCGTAATCTACTCGATAATTACGCATGCAATAACGCTCAAGATCCTACTGGAAATATTTAAATGCTTCTTTGATTCAAGTGTACACATCAAAAAATATAACTCAGTACTCACTGCAGTGAGTGACAGAGAGCGCATTTTCTCGTCGACGAAAACTTGAGGTCACGGACGGACGGACAGACGAACATGGCGAGGACAATAGTGCATTTTTTCCATAAATGAGAAAATGCGCTAAAAAATATTTGAATCGTTTGTCTCGTGAGCTGTACGACTTGAAAACAATTCAATTGTAAAGACCACTGCACTTGTAGACGTTAGACAGAAAAATTTAAATTGGAGTGTTTGTGGAAATGTTTAATTGATTTCAAATTGCCTGCAGATTACTGTCTGCAAGCCCACGAACTAATGAATTCTCCAACGATATAAGTGTTCAGCTTTGAGCATATGTCTGCTTGAGCGGCTAAAGAAGTAGCTCGTGCTACTTCTTTAATCAAAAACAGCAACGTGAAGTCAAAATGAACACTAATTGCTACGTGAATTTTGACGAAGTTTTGGTTCACTTATTTCTGTCATTGTAGTACCTAGAATTTTTAGGCAGAATTCAGAATTTGCAGAACAAATTGCTTGATAGAAATTTAAGGTCACGAAAGTTATGGTACATGATACGGCAATTAATTTAACTGTTTGTTTTATAAACAACGTGGTTCAATCAGAATGATACATGGATGGAATAGGTTTAAATTGCCTTGGCTCGCATTACATGGAATAATTTATTTTTAAGTAGCAAATGGGATTTTTTTCTTTTGAAAGCGGTTTTGGCCTTCATTTGATAAAAACGCCATGTCAAAATGGCTACTATAATTGTAACTTGAGTCTCTGCATAGAAACTGAGCCTCTGATAGGATTTGCTCTGAACTTAAAACTAAGCGAGTGGTACTATATATAGGCTGCATACTAGGCACTAGGCACAGAGATTCAAATGCCCCCTCCCTTCCTCCCAGTATAAGGGGGGAAGGGAGGGGACATTTTTAACGCACTTTTTCAGATTCGACCGTATCCGTCCCGAAGTATCAGGTGCCAAATTGCACACCTCACCCCAGTGGAAATTTACAGACGCGGCAGCTTCTGATTTGAAGTACCAGAAGCTGGGGCGACTCTAAATTTTGTTAGGGTCACCCCAGTGGAAATTTACAGACGCGGCAGCTTCTGATTTGGATTACCAGAAGCTGGGGCGACTCTAAATTTTGTTGGGGACAGTCGCCCCAAGCTCGCTCGGTCCATGACCGGATTGTAATCAGACGCTAAATTTCGCTCGTGCAATCAGAGCGTAAAGCAGACATAGAGCCGCTAATTTACGCGCGCTGGGTGAGCTAAAGGCGTTTTTAATTCAGGAGCTAACCACCCCCAAAATTTAGATAGGGTGGTTAGACACCTACATTATCGACAGGTTCATTACAGCATTGCCTATCTATTACAGTTTAAAATGTCTAATACAGCATTGCATACTCGCCTTAATGCACTAGGGCAAATAAATCAAGTGATTCATACCTTGTATTTTGTTGAAATTGGTAAATGACACAATAAAAGTATTGAAATACGGTCAATTGAAAAAATACCTGAGTTTTTTTTTTGCAAATGCTGATGTCTGGGTATTTCGATTTTTTTTTTTTGTCAACGCTCCAAAATACAATTGTTGAAAACAATAGAATATTTTGATTGCAGCTCAGTTTTATTTAAAATTGTGTAAATTCACTAAGAGAAATCCATGCCTCTTTATGCAAATTAAGCCCTCTCGTGGTTTTAGTGAATAGATCCAGGCATAAATATATTTTGTGTAAGGTGGTGGAAAATTTCAAGTTTATCAACAAGACGAATCGTTAGGAGCAAATAAGTATATATATTACGGCAAATGATTTAGAAACTTATTATGTCTAAGCAGCTTCTAACAAGCTGGCAATTCCGTGAAGATAATTCGTGTAATAACGCCTCGCGCATCATATTATATACATATATTATAGAAGAAAAACAAGTGTATCCGAATCTTTTAATCGATGAAGTGAAGTGATAAAGTTTTTATTTGGAAAAAATTATTATTATATTCAAAGTAACATCTGACAAGCTGCTAATTCCGAGTAGCGAAAAGCATTATATAGATACATGATCGCAGACAAACAAATGTTTTTAAAACGCTCCATTATTGACGTGTAAAATAAAAGCTCAATTTCAAAAATATCAATTATTTTTCAAATCACTAAAAACAAGCAAGTTTCGAGCGGCTCCATAAAGCCGGCAACTCGAGAGTAAACCGGAAATTTCCGTACCGGAACTTCCGTAACTCGTATGAACCGGCAACTGCTAGAGCCTTTACGCGTCAACCAGCCTCCTAAATCCTGGGTAATTCAGGGTAATCCTGTCAATCTGCAAGTAATTCAGCACAGAACAATCACTCAAAATGAACTAAACAATCAAGCGATCATATTGGCAATCTGCCAGGAATTCGACACAGAACAATCACCAGAAATGAATTAAACAATCAAGCGATCATATTGACAATCTACAAGGTATTCAGCACAGATCAATCACTCAAAATGAACTAAACAATCAAGCGATCACACTGGCAATCTACAAGGTATTCTGCATAAAACAATCACTCAAAATAAACTAAGCCATTAGACGATCATACTGACAATCTACAAGGTATTCTGCACAGAACAATCACCAGAAATGAACTAAATAGCAAGCAATCACACCTAAGAATCTATTAGTTTCAATGGAACAAATCGTAGTGGAGACCAGAGCGCTCGCGGCGTTTCTGTGGCTGTAGTTATTAAAGCTGGAGCGTTCAACGCCAGACGGCAATTCTTGGCCTTAATAAGATCCACAATCAAGGGGATCTATAGAATAACGCTGAATTTTATGGTTTCAACTCTTAAGTTTATTTGGTTTCATGAATAACTAAAAATTAAACTTGAAATTTGATTCTCGACTCTTGAACTAAAAGGTAAAAACGCACGGTGCCACGTCAATGATCGGGCTAAAAATGGCTACCTCTACGAATTAGAAAATCGAACAATTTTTATACTTTGGCTATATAGGCGAACATCCACACATAATTTTTTATAATAATTTCGGTATTAACTGTGACATGAACCTTCTAAAGCTAAGTAATAAGTAACGCTGTGCAATAAATGTGCATTACAACAAAGCGATGAATGAGCGTAAGGTTATGTAGCGTTGGCACACCAGCAAACAGATGCCAAATGTCGCCAGAAACTGAGGCGGGATGATTGCTGCATTCATTTCCTTCACAGAAATATGGACAAATGCAAACGTTTGAAGCATCACCAGCCGCCATCGCAGCAGTTAGGCTTGTAGCAATAAATTAAAAACGTGCTTAATTGAGATAAACTTAGAATGATGCATAATGGTAAAGTTTATCTCAGAGGTAAAGTTTATCTGTAAATGATGCATAACGGTGGTGGTATAAACATACATGAAATCATCCGATACTGAAATTTTAGTATTAATATCCGTAGAGTTATACCTCATTCTGAACTATGTTCTTATGAGTTCTGAAACTCAGGATTTATTCCTAAGTTAAATACGTGCTGAAATTGAGATAAACCTGGAATTATATATAAATAATGTATAACGGCGATGTTCGCATACCGAAATATATAGAATTCTAAGTAGTACCGATATTCTAGGATTAATGTCCGTACAGTTATTTTAATCACAATGGATAACATTTGCAGAAAATGGTTAAAAACACAATGCAGAATAGCTAGATATTAATGCTTAAAATTTGAGCATACCATACTAAGAACAATAAATTTCAACTGATATTCAATTTCTTTGCTTTTAAATTCTTGATAAACTTGCGGTTTAAGCAGTGAAGTGATCTCAATACTTACATATATTCAAAATAATCATTCGGGCAAGATAAATTTCACGATAATTGTCACAAGGAAAAACTGAACACATCCACACACAAATTTATAATATTAAATAATATAATTGAATACAGTATAATAATATGATGAATTTAATATCATATAAATATTATAGCTATATATTGAAAATACCACATAATTATTTATAAATACAATATAATTATAATTAATAAAACTATTTATTTTAGGATGATTTTAAACCAAGTTATTGCAAGGC